CAGAGTGAAACTGTCTCAAAAAAAAAAAGACTGATGGCTTTAATGTCTCTAAACAAATTGCATACTATATTATTATTCTTGACACCATTTTCTTGAAATTTACTCATTCACTCATTTTTGGTGTTATGTGTTTTTTTTTTAATTGTGATAAAATATACCATTTTAACCATTTTAGAATGTACAGGTCTGTGATATTAGGTTCATTCATAAGTACATTGTGCAATCATTGCCACCATCCATCGCCATAATTTTTTCATCTTTCCTAAGTAAAACGTTGTATCTATCAAACACCACTCCCCATTCCCCTCTCCCAAGCCCCTGGAAACCACCTTTGAACTTTGGGTCTCTATAAAGCTGACTACTCTACTCTAAGAACCTCATGCAAAAATAATAATACAATATTTCTCTTTTTTGTGACTGACTTATTTCACTTAATATCTCCAAGGTTCATCCATGTTGTGGCACATATCAGTACTCCATTCTTTTTTATGGTCAAATAATATTCCAGTGTACGTATATACCATGTTTGCTTAACTACTCATCTACTGAACACTTGGGTTGCTTCCACCTTTTGGCTATTGTGAATAACACTGCTATGAACAAGGATGTACAAATGTCTTTCCTAATCCCTGCTTTTACCTCTTTTGGGTAGACACACAGAGAGGAATTGCTGGATCATAATTTTTTAATTATTTGAGTATTCATTCTAGCCATATTTCAAATGGCTCTTATATTCTTTTCTTTGTTCTGCATAATATTGAAAGCACAAGAAGAGTTTTCTATAATCCAGCAGTGCTTATCTAACACTTATCGATAAAAGACCTATAAGATATAAAATCATAAGAATGTGTAATGAAAGTAGACAGGTGTATTTGTTTAAACTCTAAAGCTGATTATCATATAATAACCAAAAAGGCACCAAAAATCATCTTCAATATTAACAGACAAAATTCTCCCAGAAAAAAAAAAAATCTCCACTATAGAAGAGTATAGGAGAAATTTTCCTCTTCTGGGTCACAAATTATCAAGGGGCAGGGCCAGGCACGGTGGCTCATGCCTGTAATCCCAGCACTTTGGGAGGCCAAGGCAGGTGGATCACGAGGTCAAGAGACCAAGACCATCCTGGCCAACATGGTGAAACCCCGTCTCTACTAAAAATACAAAAATTAGCTGGGCATGGTGGCGTACACTTGTAATCCCAGCTACTCGGGAGGCTGAGGCAGGAGAATCACTTGAACCCGGAAGGTGGAGGTTGCAGTGAGCCAAGATTGCATCACTGCCCTCCAGCCTGGTGACAGAGTGAGACTCTGTCTCCAAAAAAATAGATAAATAAAACAAACAAATTATGAAGGGGCAAGAGTAAAGATCACTTTTTCAAATTGCACTGAAATTCACTCACCAGTGAGAATCCATAGGTTCCCTCTCCATCTCTTTTTTCCCTGAAGACTGAGAATCACTGCCACCAAGCCATTATCCCTAAAGGGAGTGTCCTGTACCTTTGGCTATGCTGGAAAAGAAAACCACCCAAGGCGCTTATCTGAAAACATCTTCCGGCAAATATATATATGAATGTGTGCATGTGCACCCACGTGTGTACATATCGATGTGCAAAATCCATGCGGATAGGTAAAAACGTCTATAGTTCTACAACACAACTGGGGTACCAATATGAAATCAAAATACAGTTTCCCTTTAAATACTAAGTACATCTATTTCCTAACCGACCAAAACAGTGCAAAAGCAATAACCAACCAGGATTAGTGAACATCACCAGCACCCACGTCGTGATGTTCAAATGTCATTTCTCACGAAAAAAAATAAAAGCACCAAGCTCCTTAAAGAAATGCCTCATTCCAGTTCTGGAAGAGGAAATACAAAAGATGAGGGAGGAAGGTCTCATAATACAAAGCAAGGAAGCTAACAAAGGCTACTGAAGCTATGTCAAAAGGATTCACAAACCAACTGGGAAAAGCTCCCTTGGCTAAAGATTGGACAATATTGACATTAACAAAAATAATAACTTCGGATGAGTGCAGTGGCACATGTCTGTAATCCCAGAACTTTGGGAGGCCAAGGTGGAAGGACTATTTGAGCCAGGAGTTCAAGACCAGCCTGGGCAACTTAGCAAGACCCCATTTTTAAAAATTAGCCAGGCATGGTGACAGGCACCCGTGGTCCTAACTACTTGGGAGGCTGAGGCAGGAGGATCATTTGAGCCCAGAAGGTCAAGGCCACAAGGCGCTGTGATTATGCCACTGTATTCCAACCTGGGCAAAAGAGTGTGACTTTGCCTCAAAAAATAAATATAAACAAATAATAACAATATCAATAAATGGAAGTGCATCACACATTTAAATTTATTAGTTCGTTATAATATGAAAACAACAACCACTAATTTGTTATCTTCAAAGGACACTAAAGAACCAAACCTGAATTTTGAAAAAGGGGAAAGAAGAAAGCATTAATTCTGCCTTTCTCCTATGAATATATCTCTGGGTAACCTAAAAGCTGATAAGGGAGATTTCTTCCTTTAAATGTATTTCAGCTCATACATAATAAAAATCACATATAACCATTTTAATCTCTAATACAACAGTAGTTCTCTAGCACTGCCTAGATCATCAATGGCTACTGACATCTCAAAAAGAGACAACCAAGCATCATGTGCCTCCTCATAGAAGCATGAAACACTAGCTGTAAAATTGTACTGCCAAAAAGTCAGACCTGAATCTGCTCAGTCCTCTACATCTAACTACAAATTAGCAGTTATGGACAGAAGAACACACTTACAAGACACTGCGGGGTGGGGGGTGCAATTAGCAAATTCAGACTGTGGGACGTTAACAGGACAAACAGTCTAACCTATTCAACAAAGAAGTTACAGAGAAGATTGGTCGGGAGGTGAGGGAAAGATGGAGAGAAGGAAAAAAGAGGGAGAATCTATTGTTAACCTATTAACATATTTTTTAAGCCAGAAAAACTTGGTGTTACCAACACATTATTTTGTCACTGTACTCTCAAGTCAAGCCTAACTGAAATGTTTGCTGTAAGAATGCTTTTAAAAACCTGAAATGAACTTGCTGCTTTCAAATTATTATTTGCAATTACTGTCATAAACACAAAAGAGAGATAATAGAATAGTTAAGAAATCAGGCTACAGGGTCAGATCCAGCAGGTCCAAATCTCAGCTCTGTACTTAGTAACTGTGTAAACCCAAGTAAGTAATTTAATTATCATAAGCATTATTTTCCTTATCTGCAAAATAAGACTAATTATACTGCCTTGACAACATTGCTTTGGCAATTAAATAAGATAGTATACACAAATAATTTAACAGTCATGCATTAAATGAATGTAACTATTAGTAGTATGATGATAAATATTTCATATCAGAATTTTAAAAATACAAATCTGACTAATCACAAAATTCCTACTCAAAAAGTAAATATTATATTTACCACATCCAAACACAGTGAGACCCACTTAAGGAAATACCATGGAAGCAGGGGGAAAATGTAATTTTAAATGTGCACAGTCAACTTTAAATCTACATTAACAGATAAGACCAAACATTTCCCAACTATAAAGCAAGAAATTAGAAAGTCAAATTGGCAATTGTTACTGCAAAGTGGCAATCGCCTTGGACCAGAAGTTATCTGTAAAATGAACCCAAATAAAATAAACATTAAATAACCCCTTGAGCTTTTAGGATTCTACTCATTCAACAAACAGAAGTTCTATCACGCACAGATGAAGAAATAAAAAAAGTCTTCTTTGATTTCAAGTAATTCATAATCTAGTGAAAAGAAAAACATAAATTTTAGAAGGACAAGACAGTATGAATGCTTAGGAGCACAAACAGAGCATTATGGTTTCACACAGAAGACATTCCTAAGTCTTGGGGGTGAGAGGAAGGTAGGTGTAACTGGTTTCAAGGCCCTCTCCCCCAGAAAGTGAAGCATGAATTCAATCCTGAAGGAGCAGGAGTTGGCTAAATGAAAAACTGAAGAAAAGTGTGTTGTGTATAGGCAGAAGTTTAAGAAAATTGTTGTTAGACAACACCTATTGTTTTCAGGTTCTAGTTAGGAGGAGTAAGTTCTAAAGGTCTACTGCACAGCACGGTGGCAACAGTTAATAACAGTGTACCATATACGTGAAAACTGCAAAGAGAGTCTATTTTAAATGCACTCATCCCAAAAAGTGATAAGGATGTAAGATGATAAATATGTTATTTAATAGCTTGAATTAATCATACCACAATGTATACATATATCAATACATCATGTGGTACATCATAAATATATAAAAGTTGTCAATTAAAAATTAATTTGGGGTAGAAATATTGACTGTCATAAAAATATAAAATTAAAAAATTAAATTTCTAATTTAGCATTGTGCTAAGTCGGAATCTCAAGCAAGAACAGATCAGGGGGCTTAGCAGGGACAGAACCTTATATAAATCCTGTTATTCTTCTTAACAAGTTACGGGATCAACAAGGTATTTTGAATTTCTTCTTTTTTTTTGAGATAGAGCGAGACTGGAGTGCAGTGGGATGACCTCAGCTTACTGCAACCTCTGCCTCATAGACTCAAGGGATTTTCCCACCTCAGCCTCCCCAGTAGCTAGGTCCACAAGCTTGCACCACCATGCCCTGCTAATTTTTTTTTTTTTAAAGACATTTATTCAGCGTCACGATCAGACTATTACATTTAGCAATCAACAGCATGGGTGCAAAAAAAAAAAAAAGAAAAAGAAAAAATCTACATTAAAACCCTTTGTTGGAATGCTTTACACTTTCCACAGAACAGAAACTAAAATAACCTGTTATACAATTAGTCACAAATACAGTCCTCGAGTTTTTTGCCCATACACATGAGTATTTGTCTAAATCATGTCTTCTTTGTAGCAGCTAGGGCCTGCCACCACTGTGCTTGGCTGAGTTCACAAATCTGTTGTAACCTGTAGCTTCCCTGTCACTTCTCTGGCTCTCCTCTCCTGCTAAGCTTTGTTTCCTAATTAAAATCTTCTGCCACTGCCATAGCTACTGCTGCTACTGGAACCGCCATAGCCACCTTGGTTTCGTGGTTTGGCAAAGTATTGGCCGCCACCACCATAGGGGCCAGAGCTTCTGCCTCCAAAGTTTCCTCCCTTCATGGGTCCAAAATTTGAAGACTGATTGTTGTAACTGCCAAAATCATTGTAGCTTCCACCACCTCCAAAATTGCCTCCACTACCACCGCCAAAGCTGCCTCCGCCTCCATTGTTATAGCTGTCATAGCTTCCACTCCCGCCATAGCCACTGCCCTGGTTTCCATAACCCTGTCCACCACTTCCATAGCCTCTGCTTCCTCCAGAGTAACCAGGGCCGCCTCCTCCATAACCACCATCATTACCAAATCCATTATAGCCATCCCCACTGCCACCATAACCACCACCACCACGGCTGCCACCAAAGCCACCACAACCACTGAAATTTCCTCCACGACCAAAGTTGTCATTCCCACCGAAACCACCTCCACGACCACCACCAAAGTTTCCAGAACCACTTCGACCTCTTTGGCTGGATGAAGCACTAGCCATCTCTTGCTTTGACAGAGCTTTCCTAACTTCACAGTTGTGGCCATTCACAGCATGGTATTTCTGAATGACAATCTTATCCACGGAGTCATGGTCGTCAAAGGTTACAAAGGCAAAGCCCCTTTTCTTGCCACTGCCTCTGTCCGTCATGATTTCAATCACTTCAATTTTTCCATACTGTTCAAAATAATCTCTTAGGTGATGTTCTTCAGTGTCTTCTTTAATGACACCAACGAATATTTTTTTCACAGTTAAGTGGGCACCTGGTCTTTGAGAATCTTCTCTTGAGACAGCTCTCTTTGGTTCCACAACTCTTCCATCCACTTTGTGTGGCCTTGCATTCATGGCTGCATCCACCTCCTCCACAGTTGCATACGTGACGAACCCAAAGCCCCTGGAGCGCTTGGTGTTTGCATCTCTCATGACCACACAGTCTGTGAGCGTTCCCCATTGCTCAAAATGGCTCCTGAGGCTCTCATCGGTTGTTTCAAAGCTCAACCCTCCAATGAAGAGCTTCCTCAGCTGTTCCGGCTCTTTAGGAGACTCTGATTTAGACATGATCGCGGGGAGAAGAGAGACTTTAATGATGCTGCTTCGGCGGCGTCCACGGGCAGAAAGGACGCTAATTTTTTTTTTTAAGTAGAGACAGAGGTTTCACCAAATTGGGCAGGCTGATCTCCAACTCCTGGCCTAAAGTGATCCACCCACCTTGGCCTCCTAAAGTACTGGAATTACAGGCGAGAGCCACCACACTTGGCGCCACAAAAAATTTCAAGCAGGACAAAGACAAGATCAGATTTGTGGTTTGAAAACATTACTCTAGAGCAGCAAAATGGAGAATGGAGGGAGAAAAAACCGGAGGAGACTTGGAGCAAGATAAGCGTATACGGACCAGTAGGAATGCTCCTTCAGCAATGCATCTGAGAAACAGAGAAGACTGGAATTAAGGCAGTAACGGTAGGAATGGTGATGAAGCATCTCTTTCCTTCATTTTCTGTTATTAGAATTCCCTGTTGCAAACCACAGGAAATCAGGGCCAATGACCCTTACCCTTTTGCTCATAGGATAAACAAAATGTTACCCAATTCCATGCATTCTGCTAGCTTGAAGACTATTCCTTAAATTTTTCTCTTAAACCAATCAAAAAATCAATTTGATATCTCAGTTATAAGAGGTGAAAAAGTTTCAAAGGCATAACCTTTAATATCGACCATTTCTATCAAGCCACACGCGTGAGACGTTGACTTCTTAAGCAGACACACACACACTGTATGAAATTTACGTGTCACTGTTCAATAGAATTCATGCTAATAAACAAGAAGCCAGAAAAAATTCAAACACATCATTGTATCTGCTATTGCTAATCATACATTGGCTTCCTTCAAATTACAAAGACCCCCTCATTTCACTGGGTGTTTATGTAACCGTATTTTCCTTTTAGTACTAAAATTCTTATACTGTATTTGGTCTTTAACCAAAAGTATTTCATAGCATATATGCATATATATATATGAGTTTTAAGTATTTCATATTATATATATGATATTTTAAGCATTTCATATCATATATATGAAATGAAATCATGAATATATGAAATTCATATATGATATGAAATATTTTTCAAAAGTTTAGACACAAATACACTTCCAAATTCAAACTTGCAACACACCTCAGTGAAGAACAGCAACTCTGGCAGGGCTTGTAGGGTTGTTAAAATTGTTTAAAGAGTTTACAAGCAATTAAAACTTCACTCTAGTATATGAACAATAAAAAGCCTTTATCTTCAGTTACATGAATTGCCTGAAGTACTTTAGATTTATTTCAGAATTACAATACTCTATAATTTCTGCCTAGCAACGAAGTGAGTAACTTAAAAGTAAGGAAATTGTTCTAATCAAGGACATAACTTCCTATAGTAGAAAGTAGCATCCCCAAACTTTTTTCCTTGTTAGAATAAAATAACCGAAGAGAGATATTTTAATTCTGAATTGAACTATCTTTAAATACTTTTTGCATGGAGTTATTTGGTGATTTCAGTCTCATACACACTTTTTGAAAATCAAAATATAATTAGTACATTCACTCATTCCCAAATAGGACACAGCAAACATGAAAGCAAAGCTGTGTATCTGGAACTGGACTGGGTACTGGAGATTAAAAACAGGAATAAAAGATATCTCTGATCTCAAGAAAAATACTGAAGTCAAGAAAGACTAAAATAAATCAGTAATTAAAGGTAAACAAATGCAATAATGAAAGGGAAGGTGTAAACAATCAACACAGCAGGGCTTCACGGAGAAAGTGGCCCCAGCAGAGCTGGGCCTCAGAACAGGCTTTGGCTGCCGTTGGTAAAGGCAGTCTGGGCCGGAGAAAGTGCGTGTGCAAAAAAGCACTGCTAACTTCTGAGAAATGCTTTAGATTTTTCTCTCACGCTTTGGAGAAGGTACATGGCTTTAATTTTGTAGTTGTAAAACAACTTTCTTAGTATAAATTAAAGCCATAAAACATGATTTCTTTCTCCTTATCCTTAGCCAAGTGAAATTTTCAACTTCTATTTAAAAACTGGGCTGGGAGTGTTTCATTTTTGTTATTATTACTCCATGTAAATATGAGAATTTAAAAGGGTACCAGGATTTGTTTGGTACTAGTCTGTATAAGAATAAACGTAAATAAGTAAACACATGAATTGAATAATATACAATAGGCAAACAATGTATGTATAAAGGAATGTATCACATAGAACTCATTTCTTTACTAATAAAATGACAGCATGTATGTCAGAAAATGAATTATTGTCACCTTTCATAAACATAAGAATGCTCAAAACTGCTTAAATCTAGCCTTCATGTTTATGGACATATTAGGTGCAAAGTAGTTGTGTGTGTGTGTGTGTGTGTGTGTGTGTGTCTGTGTGTGTGTGTGTCTGTGTCTGTGCGTGTGTCTGTGCGTGTGCCTGTGTGTGTGCCTGTGTGTGTCTGTGTGTGTGTGCCTGTGTGTGTCTGTGTGTGTGTGTCTGTGTGTCTGTGTGTGTGTATATATACACACGTATATATGTATATACATATGTATATACACGTATATATATACACACACACATATATATACATATATACACACACACACATATATATACATATATACACACACACACATATATATATACATATATATATATATATACACATATATATGTATCAGTCACCACAATGGTGAAGACATTCTGACCAGAATAGGACACAACAAACATGAAAGCAAATCCCAGTGCAGGTCAACTGGAAATAGCCTCAACATCCCAATCTCAGAGAGCTTCTCACATTTGGCAACAAGGGGTCACAGTTAAAAAGAATTCGTGGCATCTGCTCTCACCATCCCTCAACGTGGAAATATGTCCCCACTTTTTTTTAACTATGCTATGATATTTAGCCTTCAAACCCTTCTCATCATTTCCCATGAAGAGTTGTTCCCAACTGTGAGGCAATAGGAATGTGAATAGTTTCCTCATCTGTAAAATAAACTGCAATTATAAGACTCTAAGCAAAATGTCTGGCACACAGTAAACACGAAATGAGTGAAACCTTCAACTGATAACAGTTGATTACACAAGACGTGCCAATCACAAATACAATGCGTGATAGAAACTGACATTTAACTAATGTTGGTTTCTTACATTGGTTTCTTTCCTTCCTTTGGGCTAGCACATTAGCATGTATTTATCTTGTAATTCACCTAGCAAAGAGTTTCACAAAGGAAGCCCATGGTAAATCCTAACTAACTAAATGGCCTCTGTCGCTACTTCTGAATATTCGCCCATCTCCCAGTGCCACATGTGGTTCATAAGTTCTGCCTTGGCCAGTTCAGTTACTGCACACTATAAAAATAATACCCTACATTTACAAAAATGGCTTTCTTACCAGGAGCTTAAGCCACTTTTAAACAACAGTTCATTACAAACAATGAGAGGGTCAGGCAAATATACAACCATATTTTCAGGGAAATCCAAGGCTAAGTCTATGGACCTTATACCAACAAAGTCAGTAAATGGCAAAACAAGGACTCCAACTCAGAAATTTTTCCCTGAACCTGAGATATTTTTCCAACCCAGAATATATTTCCTCAAAGGACAAAAGTACAGTGATTCTCATCAATTTTCCAAATCTTCACTCAGAAAATATGTAATCTATATACAGTTGTAATTAAATATTTATCAAAGGAACAATGTAAAATTTTATCTCTATTAATCTGTACCAGTGTATCCTTCTTTGAAATGTCTGAGATTAATTTTAAATCTTTTGCTTTCTTTAGAAAAGTTGGCTCTATATTAAGTACAATTATTTTTAAACCTACTACAAATAGAATAAATTAAAACTGTATACAAAATGTAATGTTTTCATCCTATGAGCTTTTTATAGTTCATTTTATTTCCTTTGGCCATTTGCTTTTAATGCACAACCAATGAATAACAGTTTTTTTATACTTCACTTTTAAGAATGCAATCTTCCAAAAGCTCAGCCAGAAATGTCCATTTCAAAAAGCTCACTCCAGCCAGTTGGCTTCGTCAGTGACATATGTGCAAAGTGAAAATTTTACCCATCGTGATTTTCTGCAGGCCTGATGGAACTACTTAGTGTATTCAACATGATTTCCAGTCCATGCCTCAAGAGGAACGTCCTTCAGCTAGCAAGCGTTTCTTCTCTACATCAGACTCGCTACTGTGGTTTGAACACCGGAGTTACCTCGGCATGGCTGGAATACATGTGCATGCTGAGAATCATAAACATTATTCTGTATCAAAATATCATCAAAATATATCTGTATTACGAACATTATGTGGAGTCCACATAAAATTTAAGTAATCAGTAGGTAGTGTTTGAGGTGCTAAACATGTTTAATGTTAGCCATTTATTCTGTTTTCAAAGTTGCTTTAAGCTCAAAACACTTCATAGATATAATGGCTCATGTAAGCAGAAATGCTGAATGTCAAAAAAAACTTTAGTGTTAAATTAGAAACTGCAAATAATCTTAAATTATGCTACAGCAAACGAATAATACACAAATAATCTTAAATTATGCTATAGCAAATGATTAGTATACAACCTGTTTAGCAAAATGAAAAAATACCATAAATACATGAAAATATGACAAAATTTCAATTCTTAAAAAGTGTCAAATTTCACCAAATATATTCCTTGCTTTTCCATGGGTTTTTTTTTTTAGTTGGTTAACTTTCTTTTTTTTTTTTTTTTTTTTGGTTAACTTTCTTTTTTTGTAAGGCAATCCCAATTTTAGAAAACAATGAATTTTTTAAAAGGCAATTTGGCCCATCCAAGACGCTTTCCTTCATACCAATCAATAGACTAAGAAAACACAACTATTTACTGCGTCGAATAAGGTCAAGATTCTCCCACAAACTAGGACTATGTAACAAAGCCAAGCAGTAACCTTACTGCTAACACTATAATTAATTTTCAATGAGTTCATTACCTGATTGCATTTACACTCCCTGTAGATTTCTTTTTTAAAAGATCAGGAATTGTTTTCACAATTAAAAGGCAATTTTTTTTTAGTCCACTGGTTTGTTACCTTGATTGGAATATAGTACCTATCCTTTTTTGTATGGA